ACTGAAAATGTGGCGTAAGGAATTGCTAAAATGTAAGGCACTATCTTCAGCATTCCCATCATACTGGGGCCAAGTTATCTCCGATATCTATAACCTAAGTTTACTATAATCTGCTGTTTTAAATAAGTAACGCTCCGCCCTTGATTTTTTACTGATAAAGCAACATGAGTTGCGTGAATTTATCAAGGACAATTCTAGTGGTGGGTGGTGAGAATCAACAGGGGTAATCAAAGCATAGCTAGGGGCTATTGTGACGTTGGAAACATCGTCCACAAAAACTAAATCCAGACATTTACCTAAGTTATTACTAACAGAGTTGATCTGGTAAAGACTAAGATCTGACAGATCGTTCAAAAATTGATTGAAGAGATCACGAGAGGAATTTGGTACTAGAATACCATCTATTAGATCCCAAGAAACACCCGCAAGATTGAAGTCACCCAGGACAATAACAGTATCGGGGGGCTTCATCATGGCATGTAGAGAGAGCAGTAAGGAGGAGTGTTTTTAATAAACAGAAAGGCTCGAGTTAGANCAGGACAATAACAGTATCGGAGGGCTTCACCATGGCATGTAGAGAGAGCAGTAAGGAGGAGTGTTTTAAATAAACAGAAAGGCTCGAGTTAGGTGGTATATAAGCAGCAACAAGATAAACGCTAATAGAATGATATCTTATTCGAACGCAGAGGAATTCAACTTCATCGGTGTCAGTGAACTCAATTTCTTCAGAAGAAAGCTCAGTCTGGACAGCTATTAAGACGCCGCCACCTTTTTTCTTTAAACAGTCATTTCGAAACACTTCATTCTTAGGACACAAAATTTCGGAGTTGAACACATTCGGCTTGAGCCAGGTTTCAGTAAACACCAGTACTTTGAAGTCAAAAACAAGGGACTGAAAGTGTAACCTTGATAGCTTTGTGTTCAAACCTCTCACATTTTGGTAGTAAATGATAATGGTGAGGTTACTTATTAGTTTTTTGATGCCGAGGTGGAAGGCCAAGTTGAGCCAAATTTTGCCCTTGCGGTCTAGATCTAAATTAAAATTCGCGAATGAACGTACCGCTTGGCCAAAAAGATGGGCTCATTACTCTATCAAAGCAGTCTTCGGATATGTCTATTTTAAAAGAAGAAATGCTTCTTTCATACGAGAATCAAAACTTGCGTACATGCAACTCATATGCTATCAGCCTGGACGTTAAATACCCCTTCACATCATCGACAGTGGTATCTTTAGAAAACCTAGATACAAAGACCGATGTTTTTGGAAGGGACAACGATTAAATCCCTCGGGACGGGGTTAACGTAATCGGAAACGGTATCAGTTGTGGTAGGGGGTTGGGTACAGCTGCCGAATTTTTGGAAGGAGCAATGATGGCTCCGGATGTGTTAGGGGGTTGGGATGTAGCTGTGGAGTTTTTGGAAGGAGCAATGATGGCTCCGGATGTGTTAGGGGGTTGGGATGTAGCTGTGGAGTTTTTGGAAGGAGCAATGATGGCTCCGGATGTGTTAGGGGGTTGGGATGTAGCTGTGGAGTTTTTGGAAGGAGCAATGATGGCTCCGGATGTGTTAGGGGGTTGGGATGTAGCTGTGGAGTTTTTGGAAGGAGCAATGATGGCTCCGGATGTGTTAGGGGGTTGGGATGTAGCTGTGGAGTTTTTGGAAGGAGCAATGATGGCTCCGGATGTGTTAGGGGGTTGGGATGTAGCTGTGGAGTTTTTGGAAGGAGCAACGACTACTTCCTTCGGAACGGAGTTGACGCAATCGGAGACGGCTTTAGATGTGGTAGAGGGTTGTGATGAAGCTATTGAACATGAATTTATTGAGACACCAGTAGAAGAAGGACGTGGTTGGGGAGATTCAGTCCGCTGAGGAATCGGTGTGTTAAAACTTATGAGTTCTTTGTTCATTGCTGGAGTCAAAAGTGGGCGGTTCTGCGGAAGATCAAGGTCCACAGTGATGGGATTCAACACAATATTTTCCACGCCTCTCCTACGTCTTTTAAGACCTTTTCCAGGAGAAGGAGAGAAAGAAGTATCTAATAATTTAAATTCTTTGAATTCATCTTCATACTTCTTGAACTTCTCCTTGAGAAGTTTTAGCTCTTTGTGTATCTCCGAAAATTCATTTCTAGCGGTTCTAAATAGTTTACAGAAATCCACAAATTTTTTTTCCACTTTGGACATGACCAGCGAAGTCCATTGTCTCCAATAATCATATCCAGAACTCTTCCATTAATACCAGCACACTTTAAATGAGACAGTTAGTTCATCGCAAAGCCAGCACGCCACAAAACGGTCCGAACGGGCTTTTACATTACATTTTTCGAACAGACAGGACATTTTCAGCGAATTTTATTAAAAAAGAATAAAAATAGCGAAATTAGGAATGTATTGTACGAAAACGTTTCAAGCTCACAGTAATTGGCAGTTTAATAGCTAGTGGTCTTAGTTAGTGAAGTTCAATGGTTAGAAACCGTGCTGAACTTAACAGTTTTAAAGCCACTGAGTTAGCAAAATCAGCTGTCACCAAGAAAGCGACTGTCGATGATAAACAAAGGTGTGCGTAAAGCGCAAAAGAAAGCAGAATGAACAAACAAATGCGATATTCCTTACACTCTCACGCAAAAGCAACAATAATGCACCAAAACAGGCAAATATGCACGAAGGCCGACAAAATAAAACTTTTCAATCAACGCACTTTTTGACTAAATCATGTCAATTTATTGGAATTTGGCTTCAATAAACTTTTTTCGGTGTGAATAACACAAATTAGAACTGCTTAGCACTTTGTACAAAAGATAAACTTTGGAAATTTATGAATCCATTTAATTCATTGCATGTAAAATCGATATGGCGATATATCGGGCTGAACAATATCGATATCGGAAAACTCGATGTTGAAAAACCTACTCCCAATTGAATGAATATTAGACCTGCCTGTCAACTCACCTAATTGTGTTATTTCCATCTTGTATATTTACTGAGGAATAAAACGGAATGCCGGTCGACTCAAGCGGTTTGTCAAACTTAAGAGCTAAATAAATCAAAAAATAAATTTCAACTTAAATATCGATATTGCGGGTAAAGTATCGATGTCTTCGATATATCGACCTTGGAATATCGATTAAAAAAATCGATTATCATGCCATGAAATATCGATATTCAGAATAATCGATACGATATCCAACATTCCTGTCATCTAGTTGGTGATGTACCAGTGAATTTAGCGATGAAACTATTGGGAAAATATTGTGGCGAATACTGCGGCAACGCGAAACCAACAACGAGAAATAGCCAGAATGTTCGAGGAATTACGTAGAATGTTCCACAAAGAGCAACGTCAAGTTGGATNGAGAAATAGGCAGAATGTTCGAGGAATTACGTAGAATGTTCCACAAAGAGAAACGTCAAGTTGGATGAACACTGCGAACAGCGAGAGAAAGAGAATGGGCGATAAACTTCAGAACGTTCTAGAGTTGCCATAATTGCGAGCGCAGGTAAATAAGGGCGCCGCCACAGCGAAGTGAGTTAGTTACAAGTCAGCAAGCTACAAGTAAAGTGAGCAGAGAAGCGAGTTGCGAATAAGCAAGCTATAAGTTTAATTGTGTGTAACAAGTTCGGTAAAGCGTTGTAATTGCTTTAACAAGTATTGCAGTGTTTTTACTGTATTAGCAAGTATTGTAAAATTGTTTGTTGTACAATAAAGTTAATTGTACTACCATTTGGTCATCGTTAGCCTTTATTTAACAATCCAGCGATACGAACCGGAAGATTTGGGAAATCCGGACGAGGCTTCAAGGATAATCAAGGATATATAACCTAGCTATCAATGGGCAGCCATAAAAGTTCCCACTTCTACTTGACCTTTGACGTACGTCAAAGAGAACATAGTCCTATTAATAATGGCCCGTAGTCATAGTCAAAATAAAGTCGACTTTAAAGTTAGTTGCAGCTTTTTTGACAGATATCCCATTGAAAATTATGTCAAAAAGCTGCAACTAACTTTAAAGTCGACTTTATTTTTTATGCTTTAAATACCTGTTTTGGCTTCTTT